CTACTATAATAATATAATAGGGTAGATATTGGGGTTATATTGGGATAATGGAAAATAGAATGGAAACTACTATAATACTCTAGGGCATATTGGGAAAGCCTCTCAGCTAGTGGATGACGGAAGGCGTGAACTGATAATGGCCAGGCCCACGGCTGAACAGCACTCTTGAGCATTCTGGCGCTGTAGCTGTTTGAGCTATGATTGAGATGATGCCTTTGCCTGGCAAGTTGCAGGAGGCCTTGGAAAACGCTTTTTTGTGTTCATGATATTGGCAACCAAGGAGTCTGGCGCCACGGGCTCAGCTGCTTTTTAGCTAATGGCTCTGTTGCTGTGTCTGCCGGTGGGAATTCTCAGGGTCACAAGTGGATCTAAGTGTACCATAGTCTAAACTCCTATTGTCCCCCTTAATGACTCCTATAGTAGTCACCTATATAATCCCCTATGTGCCCCCCCCCCTTTACGAAGTTTTGGTTATGGCTCACGTAGATCAGAAGATGCAAGCCAGGCCTGCGCCTTTGCGCGTCCAAGGGTTCTAGCTGACTCCAAGGCATCGTAAGGTCCCAAAAGGCTATAATCTACCATGATCTGCCACAATATACTATCTCTACTATATTCTGGTACATTATGGTAACCCTTGTGTCCTCCAGGTTCCAGTATTCTGCTGTTGATTCCCCTTAGCTCACAAACTTCCCATCCGACCAATGAGCGATGCTGCCGTGGCAGCAGCGCGGGAGCGCCTTGCAGCAATGCGGGGCAGCCTGGCAGGCCTCCGACAGCACCAGGCGAAGGGGTATATTGGGGTCATATTAGGGTTATATTGGGGTTATATTAGGGGTCATATTAGGGTTATATTAGGGGTTATATTAGGGTTAGATTAGGGGTATATTGGGATGTGCGAGAGTGAATGACGAGGGGAGAAAGAAGGGGAAGAGCATGGCAGTATGGCACCTGAAAGGTGCATTTGCTTTTTAGCACTTTTAGACGTTCCCATCTCCAGCATGTTGAGAGTTTGGCGCAGTCCTGCAATGAGTCGTGCAACAAGTGCTGCGCAACGAGCAGGCGCGGCTGGAGGCTGTCTGCAAACAGGCGCAGGAGTCCCGGCCTCGCTTTGGCTAGAGAAATATCAGCATCAAAACGCTTCGTTTGTTGGAGCATTCATACTACAGCAGAAGGCAAGCTCGTAAGGCTTTGCCGGTGCCCGTAGTACTTACATGACAGCTCTGTCGACATCCCACTTGGCATCGAAGCGTTGGGATGTGCACAGGCATCAGATTCATCAGATTCATCAGGCTGTCAGCCGGTCAGAAAAGAGGCGGATTTGAACCAAGGAAAATGAAATAGTCCTGAAGAAGCAGCTGGAAGATCTCATGATTGAGGCTGAGAAGGCTCGGGGGGTGGAAGAAGAAATCTTCATGCCGTGCTGAAGCGTCATGAAATACAGATAGGATACGGAGATGACGGGTCAAAGCTGGATGGTAATCAATTTTTCATCATCCCATCTCATCCCTGAACGTAGGTTAGCTGTATCCATGACAGGGTTCAGAGAACACCGACCGACAGACAAACCGTTACAGCGACAGCCATTCTTGCAGACACGACAGACGACAAAGTAGTTGGCTCAGTTCAAACCCAGATATGAGAGCACCATGCGAGTTGCTGCTCACTTCAGCTTTGTTGACCTGGCGGCACAGTGGAGGTTGTGCCGACCGGGACAGTTTCCACCTGCAGGGATGATGGGGGTTTCACATTTCCAGTTATCCAGGTTTCGAGCTGCAGGGGGGACAGGGTGCCTTTCACTTGTTATTCTATCCCCTAGCCTGTTCTGCAAAACAGCTCTATGAAGGCCAAAACGCAAAATAGACTAGGGCCAGGGCTCACAGGGGATCCCCTAGTCTCTTCTGGGAAACAGGTCGAAGAAGGCCAAAAAGCAGCAGGGCCAAGCACCCCTCTCTCAATTGCTTTCGCAGCCCGAAATCTCCAAAATGTGGAGCCGTGGGGCTGCAGAGCATCCCCTGAACCCTACGGCTCCTCATTTCGGAGGTTTCGCAGCCCGAAACCGCCAAAATGAAGAGCCGCAGCCGTAGAGCTCCGTAGAGCCCCTGAGCCCCACGGCTCCGCAGCTTGCAGTTCTCCCAAATGAGGAACTGTAGGGCTGCAGAGGACTTGAACTACGGAAATGTGGTTTCGCAGCGAAACCTCCAAAATGAGGACACTTTCGGAGGTTTGGAAACCTCCAAAATGAGGAGCCGTAGGGCTGCAGAGCATCCCCTGAACCCTACGGCTCCTCATTTCGGAGGTTTCGCAGCCCGAACCTCAAGAATGAGAACACTTGCCCTACGGCTCCTCATTTCGGAGGTTTGGCATGCCGAAACCTCCAAAGTGAGGAGCCGTAGGGCTGCAGAGCATCCCCTGAACCCTATGGCTCCTCATTTCGGAGGTTTCGCAGCCCGAAACTTTCAAAATGAGGAGTCGTAGGGGAGCTTTATACGGCTGCTCATTTCGGAGGTTTTGCAGCTCGAAAGTTCCAAAATGAGGCTGCAGAGGACCCTAAGCCCTAGGCGGCTCGTCATTTCGGAGGTTTCGCATCCCGAAATTTTGAAACGAGGAGCCATTGGGTTGCAGAGGACCTCTCGGAGCCCTACAGCTGTTTGGATGCAGTGCCTGCTCTGCGCGAGTAAGCGCCCTGAAACCGCGAGAAAGATATCAGAGGCTAAGGGGTCCAGACATAGGTCTCGAGTATGTCTCCAAAGGAAAGCTTGCTTGCCGAATGTGCAGTCCAAACTGACTGGACCGGGGAAAAGCAAGCAACAGCGAGAATGGCAGAGCGTAAGCTTTGCAATTCTTGGAACTTCATCATGGTCCGTGGACATTCTACTTGTCGGGGTAACTGAGAAGCCTGTCGCGGTAACAGAAACACATGTTGTGGTTGCGCATTTCTCCCCCCTGACGTGGTTACGACCTACCCTCTCCTTGAACACTCTCCTGAGCAGGCGAGGCCAAAACGAGAGGACCTCGAGAGCTTATTCTACTCCGACGAAGGCTGTCTGATGTTCTCGAAAGTGGCTGTGCACGTTCAGATGCCGCTAGAACCCGCTGCCCCTGGTACGAGGGTTCAGCTTCACGCAAGTGTGCGCAACAAATATTAATCTCGAGCATTGCCAAGCTTTGATTTTGATGTCTGAGCACTCCGGAGGCTGGGGAACATGGGAGGACGATTTCCGCAGCCTCCTGCCTGCACTGGGCCTGGGTCCTTTGTCGTGTTCCATCCTGTTTCTGTCGACGCGGCATCCCCTCTCAGTCCAACCTGTAATGGCAGCAACATTAATTTTTCCAGGCTTTTGTGAGTCGTTGAGGCGTTTGGTCCGCAAACAGCAAGACCCGTTCCAGTTGCCGGCCTGCTGCACTGCGACCGCTTGAGGCATGTAAGAAAGCAAGTGCTCAAAATGGTAGTTTCCATTTTCTTTTCCAGTATCCCTATATAACCCCTATATATCCCTATATCACCCCTATATAACCCCAAAAGAAGTACCCAGGATCACATCTTAGAAGGCTCCTTGGCTGTGGCCTGGAGTGTAAGTAGCTCTTTGCCTTTTCTCTGTCCCTTGAGACATCACTGTCCTGGGTTGCTGTTAAGGAACTTAAATTAAGTTACCATAATGGGTTTAGGGTTTAGGGTGTAGGGTTACCATTATGGGTATATATAGTAAATAATAGGGTTTCCCCAATATAGTAACTTGATTCAAGTTCCTTAACAGCAACCCAGCTGTCTGTTGCAAGGTTCCTGCGGGCTGAGTAGACAACTTTCTGGCACATGCTGTGGAGGCAACTGAGCTGTTGCCTGGCTACCTGGGAAGCGGTGCCTGCGTGTGCAGTGCCTGCGCTGGCATTCAGGGCCATGTGAAGCTGGCTTTCTACCCTGGGAGTGACCCAAATCCTTGCTCTCAGTGATTTTGAATTTTCTGGAGAGAGACTCGTGCATTTCATTTTGAGGCGAGTCCCCGTTGGCTGCTTATCTGCCAGACTTTGCTACAGCCGAGGACATGCTGATGTACACACTTGCGCGAATAGAGAACAGAAGCTGCCAACGGCAATGCTTTGTGCTGCAAGCTGTGAAGAGAAGCTGCTTTTCAACGTGCAGGAGTGCGCCAAGCTCATAGAACTTGGTTTCCGGACCTGCAAGTCGTGGTCTCAGATGTCACTTGACGGTATGCATTCAAGGCTTTTTCCCATCATAAGCAACAACTTGGTGCGTGAAAGCCGTTCGCCAGTTCCAGTGTAAGTGCTTCACCTCTAAACTGTCGCCAGCCATAGCAGAATCATACATGTGCGTGCTGAGGCGTCACAATGATGATGCGCAGGAGTGCTGGCACGTTTCTCCATTCCCCTATGTCCTTCAAAATCACTTCGCTGACTTCTCAGTGCTGTGATCGTTTGTTATCGTTTCTTACAAGTCCGGCAGCTGGATGGTGTGCAACACGAGTAGGCGTGCACCGGTTGGTTTGTACTGTAGCTAGCTTGCGGCCGTGTGGTGCCTTAACTTGCGGGAGGGCAGATGAACCTCAGGAGATGTCTGCTGAGGCAATTCGGCACTAGAAGTACTTGTGTAGCAGTAGGCTGAGCTGGTGGACGGTGAGACTGTGGTAAGCGTGTCCTGATGAGAACGTCGCTGCAATACGAGGAGATGCAGCGCACGGGAGAGGCCTCGGCAGAGGTGCTCCGCGGCGTGGCCACAGCCTCACTGGAGGTCCGTCTCGAGAGTGACCAAGAAATCCTAGTACTCACCCAGCTTTCGGCAGTTTTGAAACTTGCTTGGTAAAGCACATTTCTAGTCGAAGTCTGTGCACCTCAATTTCAGCAGCGGTTGAGCTTGTCAAAATGCCTTGATGAGGCAACGCTAGGATTGGATTCTGGCAGTTCGTTATGTGTACCCAAACGACCATGCTTTGAGATAGCACCGCGTGCCGCAGGTTGGCCGGCTGACGGGGAAGGATCATTTACTGATGTCAGAGATGCAACAGCGCGTGGCCTGCTAAGTTTTGAAGGTGCATAACCCCTATATAATCCCTATATAAACCGTTTATAACCCCTACATACGCCCCATATAATCCCTACATAACTTATAACCCATATAATCCCAATACGCATTCAACGCAGCATAGAGAGACCAGGTTGCGGAGCTGACTGGCATCCCCATCCACGAGCAAGCCTCTTGGCTTCTGACTCTAGCTTTGCCAGTAACTTGGCGAAGGCCATGGGACTGGCTTGTGCCGGTTTGTGCATTTCATTCTCGACAGTGTGTAGTCTTGTGAATGTACGATCGGTCATTTCAAGGAAATCAACCCCTTTCTCAAGTTCGACCAGCCCAGCAACGCCAACATACAAGGAGTGCAGATCAAAACCACTCGAGTGAACATGTTGGCCTGCAGCTGGAACTGCCTTTGTGAGACGAAAGCCAGCTGCCAGGAGATGAGTTGAGCATCGGCCTGCACTTGGACGTGAACGGTGGCTTTCCACACTGCGTCTGTTCCGTCATCATCTACCTCAATGAGGTGCCCAAATTGAGCGACTGGCATAGACATGCCATTTAAAACCCCTCCTGACGCCGCACATGCAGACTGGGGAGGGGCTTACGAAGCTCCGAAAGCACGACACCGCAAAAGATTCAGATGTTGGGGTTGTTACAGCAAGCTCTAGACGAGGTGCGGACATGAGAAGTCTTTTGACAGAAGCTTTGAAAGCCAATCCGGACAAGAGACTGAGGTGGAAAAGGGTGGACGGACAGTCTTCCCTTGTGCAGCTGTGCCAAGTATGGGAGAGGATGCGGAGGAGCCTCGGGGTTCGGGGAGTTGTCTTCCTGCGACCTCTCTGTACTTGTATTGGTGATTGCAGATGCTGCCAGATCAACCGCACTGCTTACACGATAGATTGTGAAATTTTCCCACAACGCCTCAAGGAAGCTGTAAGCGTTTTGGAGAGGAAGCAGCGCGCAGCCTAGCACTGGGGCAAGCGCTGGCAGGCATGGAGATTTTGTGCACCTGATGTGCAAGAATGGCATTCTGGCACTCAGGAGTCAGGTTCCAGGTCGAAACTGTTCAGTACTCTTTGGATTTTGTTCTGCTGGGGCTGGGCCTCTTGTCCGATTTTGACATGGTGCTTCCTTAAACCTGTTCCGGGGTGCGCTAACTCTATGGTAGGTTTGCTGGAGAGCTCGTTACAGCAGCGAACCTTCAAACGAATTGTGGCTTGCACAGGGGCCGGACACACGCACACAAGCCATTCGCGAGTGGCGGAGACGCTTGCCGAGGAGGTGCCTGCCAAGCACATGAGCCCCAAATCCGACAACTCCATGCCCCGGAGGTCTAAGCTGGAGTAAGCAGCTCAAGTTTTAACCTCGTGGCATGTATGAGGCCGCCGAGCTTGTGCGCCGGGCGAATGGCAGTCAGGGGCGGCCCGCTGGGCTGAGGTCACTCCTTTTTCAGTGTCTGCTGAACGCCGATGAGCTCTTGCGACATGCAGTGCTGCAGCAGAACGGTGGCAAATGCAGGGTGGCACCGCAGCGCGGAGCAGCCCTTTGTGACTGGCCAAGCATGCTGGCATTGGTCGGTAGTTCATCTCAAGACCTCCCGCGTTCTCGCTTCGCAAGGCTTCTTCACGCTGCAGTCCGACAGTAGCAGCTTCGTTCCAGATCCTTCTTCCTGGCACGGCGGGGCAGCTGTTGCTGGCTGTGTTGGGCCGCTCTGTCAGCAGTAGGAAAAACAGGCATCACGTATTGCAAGCGCATTCGTGCAACAGATGGCATCTCTTGCTTTAACTTCAAGCCGAAGCTGAAGCCGTTTATTCACATGGACGCGGGCCATTGGCACTGAGGAAATGGACCTTGCAAATCTTCAAGGCAAGCATCACTCCTGCTTGCCAAATTTGCCATCCCAGGTGGAGTTAGTTTAGTTCAATCACGGAAGCCCTCTGCAGGAAGTGCCCTTCTCGCATCGCGTTGGTGGGCCTGCTGACGAGGCAGGCTGTCATACAGCCGTGATGCAACGTGTAGTCGTGGGCGAGTTTTTGTGGACCTTGTTGAAGTGAGGGACGGCTATCACGTAGCGGCTGAGAGCGGTCACAACATGTCTTTCTGGAGGCAAAGTACATTGAGTCACTGCGACACCGCTTCTTGCAGGCTGCGCGGAACCACAGTTGCAGGAAATATCAGCGCAGTGATTGAACATAGCCTCACTTATGTATGGTGTCCTTGCCTGGTCTGATCCTGGACAAAGCAGCTGTCATGGCTTGCATCTTAGTCTTCACCAAGGACCGGCCGCGCCGGCCTTGCGGCACTTGGCTAAGAAGTCATTTTCCTCGTTTCTCGAAGAATTCTGGCACTGTCCAAAGCTGACAGCCTTTTCAAGAGTTGTGATTGCTTCAGGGTGCTGAAGTCGTTTGCATTATGTATAGCTTCCGAACCTGCGTGTGTCTGTGTGCGTGTGTACAGCCGTCCCTGCCATGACTTTGCCGCGTTCCTGTAAGAAGATTGATTGCAACCGTTGCAGCTCATGATTCTGTTGCATTCCTGGTCAGCTGCAATCCGTGATTATGCATTTGTGTCTCTCTGAGCCTGTCCCCTTGTCCCCTCCCTCTCTTTCTCTTTCTCTCTCTCTCTCTCTCTCTCTTCTTGCTTGATTGCAGAGACTCCCTCTTCTTCCCTCTTTGAGCACCTACCCTGCAAGCCTCAGCTCAGGGCGCAGTGTTGCTAGGTCATTTTGCTCGCAAGTCATTTTGGACCAAACCTGGAAGAAACGCAGCGTTCACAGGAACTCCGCATGGACAGAGCCTCGACAATGCGCAGTCATCACCGCACCACGGAATAGCAGCGCTCCAACCCAGCTTCAAGACATTACTTGCAGCAACAGGCTGAAGCCAGGCAGCTTTTCCCAGCGCATGGACGTACAAAAACCATGCGCCAGGACTACTATCCTACACAACATCTGAAGACGAGGCTTTGTCCTGCGAGTTCTGACCCATCATTTCTCACTCGGTGACGACTCGGCTCGACATGCAGATCATCGTGCCGCAGGTGCTGCATTTTCAGCTTATAAAACTCGGAAAAGATATGAGTAAGCACTGTCAGACAGAGAGATTTCTTGATCAAACTCACACAACCAGTCAATGGTGCAAACCAAAACTTGGGGTTTGAGCAGGCAAGCTCTGAGTGCAACTGCGAGCGGGAAGAATGCGACGTGGCCAGCATCAGTTTTCGCACTTGACTGCAGACCTCCCCGGTTTTCTGACCAGCACTTGAGCGACTGAGGTGAGTCCTGTCACGGACGGAAAGTGATCGGCCTACTGCTGGGACAACTCCAGGCTAGCAGGGCAGAAGACAGATCTTTTGCCAATGTTTTGTAAGCTGGAGTCCCAAATCCCAAGTGCTCGCTGGAGCGCGCTCCTCCCTCAACTGAAGCGTCATGCTTTGCATTGCATGTCCGAGCTGTGCCACAGGCCGCAGAAGCAAGTCGTCAACTTATGACGATGACGCTCCTCTCGAAAAGAACGCGCAAAGCGGGCGGGAACACGTGTAGATTTCTTGCGTGGGCACATTCTCAGGAATGGATCTGCGTAGTAGTCTGAGCATGTGCGGACGTGCTAGTCTTGAGCAACATTAAAACTGGTGTGATTTTCCCACTATGATGGTGTAGCTGCAGTGCCAAAACGTTGCAGCTGCCTGTGTGCTCCAGCCCAGGATTCAGCCAGATGGCTGGTCCTGGACAGGCCTGATCCACATCCGAGCAATAGCAGAACTCAACAGCTGTGACTGCAGCGGGAGTCATAGAATTCTTCTTCCTCAGAGTAAGCCGGGTCAATGGCTATCAGGGCGGTCCTGGTAGAGTCAATAGTCTAGGAAATATTTATCAATAATGGAATTGAAGTATGGGCAGCTGATCTGGCAGCCCTCCCCCATTCTCACACTGGCTTGTTATCCTTGTCCTCAGAACGTGGAAAGTTAAGATAGTATTATGTTATCATATTATACTATAACAGTATAATTATACCATATTATATGTATTATAGTAGATTATATCATACTGCAATGTAGTATGCTATGTTATACTATAGTAGTATATTATCGTATAATATTATACAACGGCTCCGGGCTCCTAAGCAGGCTTAAGCTGATAGCGTGCTGGTTCCAGGTGAGAAGTGTGATGCTTGGGAGCAGAGCCCGACGCTTGACAAAGACGACAGCACGAGATGTCTAAAGTATACTGTACACGTGGCTTCTCTGAACTTGTGTCTACACCTTGTCTCTGGAGATGGATGGAGGATGATGGAGGAAACAAGACGTAGGCGATGCCCAGGCTGCGAGTAGGTTGTGTTGTCGATTCCGACCCTCCAAGTTCGAGAGAGTTGTTGTTTAGGGCAAATGACCAAGCCATTAGGACCAGCGGGGACGAGACTTTCATTGGACCTGATGGAGCGGTCTACGACGTCTTCTATCCATCCGCCTCGTGCCCGGACGAGAAGGCTTCAAAAACTTTGAACCCTGACCCTGGCTTGAAGTGGCAGCAGGTAATTGTGACTTGTCTTGAAACTAAGCGCAAGGTGATTTAGGCAATAACTGATTGTGGTAGGCTTGTTGACGGATCCTATGTGGGCAGGAGGAGACCTCCACTACCTGCAGCGATTCAGGAGGCAACCTGGACATCAGCTTGTGTGTGCTTGAGCAAAGGTCTTGACCGCTTGCTGTCGTTTGCAGGCAGCCCGCATCCCGTGCCACGAGCTCGCTCCGCTGAAGCAAGCATTGCAGGCCGGAAAGCGACTCCGGGATGTTGTTGGACCTAGGAGCAGCTAGAAGCTCACCAGATGCGGGGGAGAGATGGCTCTGCGAACTACACCTCAAACATGTGAGTTGGCATGTGGCACTCAGTTGGGAGTGCAATACTGCAGCAGACTATGCAGACACTACCTGCGATGTCAGGGTTAGAGGCCTGCGTAGCATGGCAGCCGCTTGCAGCTGCACAACAGGTGTTGTGGACTTCATTCGCAGCGCGGCCATTGCGCGTTATCCTGCTAGAGCAAAGCTCTACGACGTAGTTCAGAGAAGCCTGGGCGCAATTGAATGTTGCTGTCAACCAACTGTGCCTCATGCTGCCGCATCAGACGTGATCATGCTCACTTTTATGTCTGCAGGGGGCAAGAGTCTAACATTTTTATAAGCATCAATATGTTTTTGAAGCGCGAAGGCTAGAAGAGCCTTATGCTTAAGTTTAAGAGAAAACAGCAGCAAAAACATGTGCTACACACTGCACCACGCTGGGTGGAATCCTGTGATGCTTGCAACCCCTGATACCCTCACGTGCAGCAGAAGAAAGAACGAACGAAGCAAGCGAAGAGGACAAGAAAACCCTGCAAGAAATAAAGCAAAGTAGGACAACAGTCAGATCACATATTGTAATGTGTCAAACGTCAAGCAGAGGCAGGGGGTGTCAACAGGTGCCATAATTTTGACTCTGCGGCTTTTCTGAATCTTAGCTCATTCTCATCGTTGGCCAACTTTTCCAACGGGTCTGTGTCACCCGCAGCCCCCACTTTTTTCAAGAGTGGCATGACATCAAACATGTCATTTCGTGATCTTTTATCTTCAAACGTTCCCATCCTCATTACTGTTCTGCAAGTGGGTGGGAGTCTGGGGCAATTTTTTGAGAGCCGTTTGCCCTTCTGGTCGTACAGGTTGGCTTCCGGCGATCTCTGATTTCGGCTCTTCACTTCAGTGCACTTGGTGCACATTGTTGATGCACGGGGCAAATGCACTACTCTGATACACGGGGCACGTTCTTTTGACCCCTCACTCGAATCTCGCATGTTTTCATCGCTTGCGTGCCTGCAGTAACTCTTCAATTCTTAGGAGCTGCGCAGACCGCACTCGGAAGCCACTTCCAGAGGCCCCATGACGCAGTTTAGGGTTTAGGCTTCGTGGGTAAAGTAGTCACCAGGCAGGGCATCATCTTTCCGACATGCAAAAGCTGCGCAGGTCTGCCCTCATCGGGAGCACAGCTCTGCGCATTGACACGCCTGACTCAGATTTGGATGTAGTCGTCTATACCTGTGACTCGTTTGAAGCAGCCTGTGAGCTTCCAGCGTTGAGGGACCTTGTGACATGGCTCCCTGATAGCAGCAAATCTGAGGCAGCTCATACTACGAAAATGGCACGGAGAGCCCTGCCCCAGATCCCATTCAGGCTCTGCGGCAGGTGACAGAGGCACTGGCAATGGAAGACCCAGCATCTCGGCAAAGCCCAATTCAAACGTGTTTTGGAGGGATTTCAGGCCTCGCTGCATCAAGCAACTTCATCACAACAGCACAGGCGCTGAAACTGCAACTGGTGGACTGCGCGCGTGTGCCCGTCCTCACTGTTCTGCTGCATGCTCAGTCTTCCCAGTGCGAAAATGCAGCTTGCTTTGGTGTGGGTCCAGCTAGCACTTCGAAAAACGCATCTGGCAAGCATTGTTTGTACATGGTGTGTAATTCCAGCCGCGAGGTCAGCAGATGGGCGCCTATCCCTCGATCCTTGCTCGCATTTCACACTGTCATGGGGACCAGTGTCTCTTTCAATGCTGCTTTAGAACAAGCTGTCTTGCTCGTCAGCTTTTCAGCACAAAAGTGGCAATTGACGCTTCGCACCACTCATTTTCATATGCAGGTCAAGGCTTACAGTCCAGGGCTTGAATTTGTTCTGAGCGCCGTGAGCTATGCGTGAACCCATTGTTTGTGTGGTGTTGTTATGTAGGAGAATGTTCTGACTCATCCATTCGAAGGACCTTACAATTGATCAGCCGCTTGGTGAGTGGCATGTGCTACTTGGCTACAAAGCCGACTCCTTGCTTTTGGTAAGACCTTGCCTTCTCTGGCCGGGCGCGTCTGCTTACCCGCGAGCTTTGCGCATCTCTTATCCAATGAGCTATAGTCTTAACTACTAAAATGGGGATTATATACAGACTATATTTTTAGGGGCTAGAAAGGGGGATGCTAGGAGCTTAGACTATAACTCCAATGAGGCTGTGGTTCAAGAGCCTCTGGCAGTGGGACCCATACGCGGCAGATGCCTGCTCTGTGGAGAAACTGCCGCCACCAATTCAGGACAGTCGGATTTTTTACGCAAAGCATTGCAGCAGAAGCCACAAATTTCTGCCAGGATGGCGAGCTTGGTAAGTGGAGTACCGGCCTGGAGGCGCATGCCAAGATCCGTCACCGGCTCATAGACGCAGAATGTGCTGCCAGTCAACAATCTAAGGTTAGGAGTATGGGCCCCTAATACGGGCCCTTAGGCTTTTGAGGGACCCTTAAGGGTACATATAGGGTATATAGTAAGTATATAAGGATCCCGGCATTAAGAGTCCATACTAGGGGCCTATGGTTTCAACCTTCGAAACAAGCTGAACAAGAAGGACTTGAGGCCGCAGAGGGCAGTCACAGTTGGAAAGCCCGGTGCAGGCGACAGCGTTGCGATGCATCAAATGGTGGTTGCGACGCAGAAACATCCCAGTGCCAAAGGCAAGGTAGCAATGACTTGCTGATCAGTCTAGGTCAAGCAGCACTTGGTACACTCTTTGTACAGCGTAGGGGAAGGTTGTGGCGAGACACGTGCTGGTTAGCAAAAGCCATGGTGGTCATCCTGAATGTGTGTGCATGCATGGATTCCCATTCGAACATTAAGGGTTGATATACCCTATTTGTGACGTAATTGTTTCCATTTTCCATTATCCCTATACAACCCCGATATATTCCCCTATTCCATGCTGGTGTTAAAGCTACTGCGTAGGCTCTTAGGCTTGGCCTGCTTTGGCTTGGTTCAGTGTTGCTCTTTGGCTTCGCTTAATCTGCTGGTTGTAGTTGGCCAAACCTAATGGTTCATAGTAAGGAAGAAGGGAAAATATGGTCTAGGGATTCTATTCCCTACTACGCTGCGCTCTTAACCCCAGTCCCGTTGGCTGAAGCTAGCCACACGGAAGCCACACGCACCGACGGATCAGGAGGGTGGCTACCCAACCGTTGTCTGGACTTTGATGGTGCTGCATGTGACCTGGCTGTGCAGTTGGAGGGTAAGTCTATATTACACTATATACTTTAAGCTGCATTAAGCTGTTTTTCAACCATGTGGTATTAGAATATAGCATATTATAATCCTACACTAGGCTATAGTCTCCGCATGAAAAGCTTCATGAGCCTTGCCAGCAGCGCGGTCATGGTTTCAGGTCCTTCGATGCTCCCTGTTTGTGAATGAAGAGTCCAAGCAGGATCCAACGGCTCTGCTTTCTACAGCACGCTTTAGAAGTGTGTCATTAAAGATTTTAGTATAATATAGTATAGTATAATCTAGTACAATATAGTATAACATAAATTAACATAGTGAAATATAGTATAGTACAATATAATCGAGTAAAGTATAATGTAGTGCAGTATAGTATAATATAAACTAACATAGTGGAAACTAGTATAGTATAATATGATATAGGATACTATATAGAGTATAATCTTGTATAGTATAATATAGCATAGTATAATATAATATAGTACACTATAATATAGTATAGTACAGTATAATTTAGTACAGTACAACAGTATAGCATAGCATATAATATAGTTCAATTTTGTATAACAGAGTGTGGTATAGTATAAAGTACATGTAGTATAACATAGTATCGTAAAGTACAATATAATATAGCACATAGTAAAACTTAGTATGTTTTGTATACTGTAGTACATAATATGATAGTATAGTATAGCATAATCGTTGGGTACTGCATCCTTTCACTTTACAGTTGGATAATAATTATAATA